AATCTTAAAAATGTCTTGCTCAGGTTGATATTTGGAAATATTTAGGAATTTTTAGGAATTTTAAAGTTTTTGTAATGATTATCATATTATCATATTAACGTCTGTAATAATTTGGCGGGAATTTAAAATCGACCAATGAGAATGCGTATTTGAACACAGGTGCCGAAACAGACCCCAGAATGCTTATATGCCTCCGGGACCTTTGACCCGCCGCCGATTTACGGTTTTTGCGGTAGTCGCAGTTGCGCGAGGCCACGTGGGCGACGTGACCTATACACGAGCGCAAGTTCAATAAACATCACAATATCGGTGTATCGGCCTTTGGGTGCGTGTAGGCTGAACCGCAATATATTTATATTATTGTACTGCCTTGTCAGCTTATTATATTTTTATCTCGAACGTACATAACAATATTATTAAACGCCGCCGCCGCCGTGGTGCGTATTATTTATGATTTAACATTATTATTATTATTATTATTATTATTATTATTATTATCATGCATAAATAGGCGTACAGAATTCCGTCGGCGGGCCGCCGAGTCAAAGTCCGCCCACTCGATTAATTGAAAACTAGAGAAAAAGAAAACGTCTCGTCGCCGACGATGTTTTCATGAACGATTCGTATATATGGGCGACATAATTAATAAAAACGCGGCGGCGGCGTCGGGCGCTTCCTATATCTTCCGTCTGCGCCGCGGAACCAAATTTTTCTTCTTCTTTTTCGCTCGACGGTTTCGACGGTCATCTCTCGGCGTTACTAAATTATTATTATTATGATGCGAGCCCGTGGGCGGCGGACACGTAACGCGCCTCGTTCGCACGCGCGATGCCGCTGTTTAGACAGCTCGCAGACGGAAGACCACCGCCGCGCTGCAGCTGACGCCACGGCGTGCGAGACTCTCCGTGCCCGAAAACAGCCACTTTGCACAACTATACTGTCTCTGTTGTTTGGTTTTCACATTCTGCGGACTGCACTTTGCGTGGTGAATATAAACTGGGCGATAATCCATCGTGGCTATTTGTGCGATGACATGATGTTATACTGATCACTTTGTAGGGTATGAAAATAAACTGTGAAATATATCTTAAAAGGTGAGATTATAGATTTTTCTAAAGTTTAGATGAAGCACCCGCGATTAGTATTAATCATTACTTATATTGGTAACATTTGACATTCGTTCACTATGAACAATTTTAAGCCATAATAGTTGAATCCAAATTTTTTTTTAAATGGTCATGAGAGTTATCAACAAGAAATTATAGCTATAATCAACAATTACTTGAAATATTTTGCAATACATTTAACTTTTAAATTTATGAATTACAGCTTATAATTTTAAGCATTTATATATCATTATACGCATAATGTATAATATAATACAATATAATGTAATGAATTAATGGGTATCTACTATTATTTATTTTTGTTTGAAATCTACAATTCCTATCTGAAATAGTACAAACTGTCGTATAATGAATGTTGTTACAGTCCTATTATATAATATAGTACAAACAAGTAAAGACTGTCTGCGCTTTTTATTTCTTCGAAGTGACCGTACAGAGTGTCCTACAACCCTCGTCGTCGGGTACACAATAATAATAATAGTAATAATAATAATAATAATAATATAAGTTTGTTATTACACGATCGTACTATATAATATTACGTCTAGCTATACTGAATATGCGCATAACATCGATGTTATATTTTGTGCATACTTACGGTTAGGACACCTTCGCCGAGAATACCTAGGACTACCGTATAGTCGCTTTTTTGAATATATTTTCTCCTCTTCAGCTCTGACGATATCCTATATTTATATAAGTAGAGTTATTACCTCTGAAATTAAAACAAATTAATATTATCGACATTTGTCGTTATTGTGATTTAACTATCCATTACTAAACCCTGGATTAGTTTTGAATTTTGTTAGTGGATTATTTCGAAGTGCGAGTGTTGGTGTAACGTTACGACAGCTAGTACCCGTTTGAGGAAAACGATTTTCCTGATATGGGATACAGGTTACGAATTTGTGCCTTGTGGTTCCTATTTCGAAGAAAACAGTTTAGGTTGTGGTGCCAGGATAACTCCCCTATATCGGTTAACTATTATTTTGCACCTTCGGGTTGGGTAATAATTTTATTTTTTATTTATTATGGTTCAAGCGGTTTACTCGTGAGTTAAACCAATTTAATTTCTTTGCAGTCAACGACCATATAAAGTATATCTTCGCAGTTAGTATATTATACTTGAGTTTTTCCACGGTGCATCAACCTGCAGACGTACAAATGCGTGTGCTTTTCAGAATTATATATACCTATATAATTTTAAATGACCTGAAAAATATAAATTTTAGCATACAGTTAAGGTATAATAATCAATTTGAATAAGTATTTAAGGATACCATACAATTTCAAGGTCTTATTTAAACCAAGGTTGACTAGTGAGGAAAATGGAATTTTTACAATGAGTTTTCGCTCCTGATAATATTCAATTTGTTATTTCAAACAAACAAACAATATATTTATACAATAAAGTCTTTTATACGCGGTAAAAATAATGAAATTCAGCGTTCACACGTTTTACAAAAATGATTAAATTATTGTAAATAAAATATTAATTTAACTTCCAAATGGGGATATCATAACAACGCATGCACACATAATTTCACTTTTTTTTAATCACGCTGTCCCTGAACCCTTTAAAGGTTATGTCTGAAATCGTATATAGTAAAAAGTGTTGGTGAAAATTAATTTCGAACGTCCAAGCACCAAGCTGCTCCCACTAATCAGTAATCGTTCTATATATAGTATTTATGTGGCTTAAAAGTTTTATATCTTAGACATGGCAAATTTTAATTAAATTTGTAACCCTATAAGTAGCTGGTGCATAATTATTTATATTATAATATGTAACTAGCATAGTATACATATTATTGCTCATGTAATGAATACGAACACTACACAATATTGTAATAAAGACTTCACGAATAGTGTATAACATAAAAGTAAAATCGTATTGAACATAATATATTATTATATATTATATGTACTCTTATACGATTTTTTTTATAAACAATACGTGATCAATTCTGAAACGTGTAAGTCCCTGTCATGGGAGAATAATAATATTGGCACATAAATGTTTGGACTAGGTACCTATTGATTTATATAATTTGAACTGTGAAGTGTTATTGGTAGATTTATAAATGCCTAAGTCTTGTCTACTATCTGTATACTATATAAATATAGGTAGGTATAATATAGGTATGTGTACGTATGTTGTACCTATATATCCAGGTATAGTTATGTACCTACGAACCGTAAGTACGCGCTCGTATAGTGTACATTTTCTGATCTAAAAATAGATAACATTTATCACGCCGTTTGCATAATGCACTTTTAATTAATCCTTTTTTGTTTTGTTTTGTTGTTACGTATTGTAGACCTGTTGTACAGACACGACGTGACGTTCGATAGCGTTCTTACAGAAGTGGAAATACTCGACACATGCAAATATTCGGTAAGTACACACACACATTATTACATGTTATTATATAGTTAAATGTATAGTATATAGGGTCCTGCTTCGTATATACCTCCCGCGCACAGCACCACAATAATAGTCGTGTGCGCGTCTGAAAGATAAAAAGAAAGAAAGAGAGAGAGAGAGAGAGAAAGAGAAAAAAGAAATAATATAATGTATAGAGAGATACGTGATCTGCAGGACAACAATGCGCGACTATTCCATTCCGCGTGCAGCAACGCCGGCGAATCATCGTCTCCCGAGTCATCTCGTTCTTGCGCAACGCAACAGCGTGTCTGTCTGCAACCGCTGTTACGGTGCTAACAACTGCGACCACTATGTACCATTATAGGTATACCACCACATTGGTATCTGCAATGACACTATAATATAATATTATATTATGTGTGTGCACCGCAAATATTATAATATGCGCGCTCGTCCGTTGCTGCAGCTAGTACTCGTACTGCACAATAACCGATTATAACGTAACGTCACGTTTCGGTTTGAAAACAATTTCCAAACGGTGTTCGTATTATATTATTGTATAATTATATATCGAGTTCGAAAGAGTTATTGTTATTGTCGTGTCGGTCGTGTATGGGCACAAAATATTATAATGTGCGCGAGCGGGTACGTATTATTGTAATATGTATATAGGTAAAAAATATAATGGTTAGAGGATGCGCCCAAGACCGGAGCGCTTAAAAAATGAAATAATAATGTGTAGACGAAATCGTATTTATTTTTCTCCCCGCAGTCCGTGAAATACTAATTTACCCGCCGCGCCCATAATGATACGGTTATAGACAGGTGATGGCGGTTAACCATATTATATACGTGTCTATACCTAATACCTATCTAATATCTTTGCCCACAGTGCCTAATAATAATTATATGTACACGTATATGTGTGTGTTTTATTGAAAGCGGTGCCTACTTAAAACCATATTATTATTATTATCGTACACATAATATATGTATAATGGCTTGGCGCGCGTCTTCCCCGTACCTATATGCCAGCTATACCGGTTGATTCATTTAACGCGTAGGACACTCGTTACTCGAAAAGTATCAATGTTTTTGTAAATATTTTTTTTATACATATCGTTTCAAGTCGTTACAAAACAACGTTTTTACTAGAAAATTATATTTTTAAACGTTTTTTATCCTTATAATTTTTTCACTTTTTTGTATTACGATAAATAGTACATATAGTTTTAATTTCATCTCAGAAAGCGGAATATTTTCCGATCGAAGAATAAATCGTATGATGATAAAATATAATAATTACACGCGTATTGTTAGCCGTTATACCTATTAGATATATATAATATCTGTTGCAGTTATATACCGGTGATTCTTTTATTATCGAATACTCGTTAATTCAACAAACGTTTTCGAAAACAAATTTTTTACATGGTTTCTAGTCGATTTTTATGTGACCAAGTACTTGAAAAAATATTCTGCTTTGGAATATGAAATTAAAACTGTACGTGTAAAAGTATGACAAAATATATTGTTTTTTTTTTTTAATGTCGTTGTATAACGACTAGAAACCATGTAAAAAATTTGTTTTCGAAAACGTTTATTGAATTAACGAGTATTCGGTGATAATAGAATCACCCGGTATATAACTGCAACAGATATTATATATATCTAATAGGTATAACGGCTAACAATACGCGTGTAATTATTATATTTTATCATCATACGATTTATTCTTCGGTTCGATGGCTGTCCATCGCGATTGATTTTCACGTGCAGTATAATGTCATGAATCGGTCTTACGATAATATTATTATTATTATTATTATCTATTGACTGTTACTATATGATATATTAGTATGTGTATTGTGAGAGTCCTCATCTCTGGTACATCAAATGCAACCCAATACGAGTATATAATATATAGCAGTCCACTACAACGATATTATTATATTATAATTATTTATAATATTCAGTTACAACACACTTCCGATCGGTATAAAATATTATTATTACATATTTACATGACGTATATTATACGTATAGTGTAATGTACACGCGTTATATCGTGTTTATACCATATATTATACTGCACACCACAGTGCCAATAAATATTATTTTTAACGATCTAACTGTACAGTGTGCACAAACAATTTTATGAGCGACAGCCGATTATTCCGATCGACGGACGTCCGCAACTGACCGTGGAACATATTATAATATTATATTCGCAAGTAGCAGTATTATTATACTGATCGGAAACCCGTAGGCGGCAGGTGCCTATCGGTACCTTAGATAGATCGCGAGAGTGCAGAAACGAGAAAATGTAGAAACGCCAAGGGAAGAGACGATGATGTATTTTTTGCAACGGATTTCATAGCTTCGGGCAGAAGTGACACTGTTATGATAATAATATTATAATATATTACAGTGGGTTGGTAGGTACGATGAAAAGAAAACCGATCGATATATTATTTATCATATTAAATCAATACATACATACGCTTTGAACGGAGGTGTCTTTCTAATGGTTTTTACAGTGTTACTAGAGGACGCATGAATGAGAAGATAATTAATGGCAACGATTATAGGGTAATGGGGTGTAAGAAATATGTAATGTATTATTATTTTTTTTAACCTCACACGACGGCGAATGACTAGAAATTTTTTTTCGCAAATTAATTACCTACCTACGATTTGCTATATAGTTCAGGAAGCCCCGATGTAGTCAAATATTTATTTTAATTGACTGTCGACTCGTTTAAACTAGTTTTTCGATCGTTATTAAACACATTTTTGTCGGGAGTTGAGATCATTAATTTTCGAAAAACTAATAATTACAACCATAAATTATTTAACTTATGCAAATGAAAATATGAATATGAATAAAGATACTTTTTATTAAAATCGAAACTTTCAGCAGCGGGTTTTTGTACTAGGTGCATGTATTACAGATGAACGAGAACGTTATGTAATATTATATTAATCAGTTTTGACAATAATTACATTACACAACTACAACGCGTATCCTTTTTGTTGGTATAATCACTTCTATAAGTTTAGCATATTGTATTAAACAAAAGTATAAAGAGAAGCGTCCATAATATTATGATTTCTCCAAATGATGAAACAGCTGACTTTAAAATATTTTCTTTTCTATATTTTATAGAATACATTTTTCATCTAGAAATACTATACGCGTGTCATGATCTAAGATTTATTACAAAATATCTCGATTTGTCTGTTTATTCAGCGTTAGCGTTACTTTCTCGAAACTTTTACTGCAGATACAATATAAATGGGAACGGAAAATCCAATTTTTAAATAATATTATTTATTATATTAGACTACCAATAACATAATATTATAAAGACTTATTTCTTTTAAAACTTTCATACTGTGTTTATTCAGAATTACATTCAACCGCGAGTAGTAATACGATTTAGTGTACTATATGTCGATTAGAAAACTTGTTTCAAGTGTTGACCAACACTTTATTTTGGCCGATGGTCAACTTTGTTGAAATTATATTAACATCGGATATAATAATTATTATAGAAATTTACAATATTGTGCAATACCTTTACCCATAATTCTCATGTTTGTTCTCCTAGTTTTATTTTAAGGGGTTGCACTGTTGCACAGTTGTACTTATCACAAATGTATCTCAATCATTTATGACTCATGACCACTAGTATACGGGTAGACTGAAATAAACAAATACGTTTATAAAATGTTGTCATAATATATAACGAATTCAGAGTAAATATATTAAATTAAATATTATGTATTTCGATTACGATTTAATTTAATGTCTGCAATACCAACATGTATTTATTTTTATAGCAGCTTTAGCATAGGCGCAATTAAGGGGGCTAGAGAGGCTCGTCCCCTTAATTTTTTCCGTAGCTCCCCCAGTTTTTTTTAATCATATGTTAGTTTAAAATATTAATTATCAGGGTTTGTGCTGGTTCTAGAAAATGTTCCTTAGTTGCTTTAGATTTTGTAATTGCAGAATATTAGAATAATATTATTATGTACTTCCTGTTTCTACATTAACTTAAACTCATCTTAAAGAGAAAATTAATTACGATTTAAGCGGATGGTCCGTCGTTGTTATTTCTTGTACTTATTGCACCACAAGTTATTATTATATTCCTGAAACAGTTACTAAATATTCTGTTTGATTATTATTTTTTGTGATGAAGAATGATATATTATGTCGTATACTAAAAATCATTTTATTTTGTAAGTTGGCAGAGCTTAAACATGTTTTAAACATCATAAACAGGCGTATATAATAGCTCTTCGTCGGGGGAAAAAACTTTTTAGCTACTTCATTTTGTATAGATAAATATTAAAAAATAATATTATGAACTGTTATGAATAGTTTGCCATCTCTGGTGCGTTATTTTTAGTCACCACCATAATACATCATAATAATATATAAATTATATGATAGGTACAGTTGAACTGGTTATAATATTACTAACTTACATATTGTGGCGACCACATTACTCGTTTTATCCACCCCAGGGTTATAGTAATAATAATAATAATAATAATAATAATAATAATATAATACCCAGTGTCGTGCGTTTAGAGAGTGAAGTGAAACTGTAAGCAGTTTATAATATATACATAATACATACGCGTATGTGTATAAGTAAATGAATTGTCGTCGAACGTTAAAAATCGTTAAAAAACATTGTTACTCAATTATCCGGGTAAATGTATTATTCAAACCTACGACCAGAAAATTCGCTCATCCGTAAATAACCATTAGGGAATACAAAATAATAATAATGTATAAGTATCGATTCCCAAGCACACATTCAACATGTACACAATCGCAATGCGTGTGTATTATATTGTGTAATAACTATCGCGGCAGTCTCGGTCCATGTTTATCCTTAATTGACAACAATATATACGTACCTATGATAAAATATAAGACCAGCGGTCAAAAGATACAGAGGCGTAGTAAAAAAGTATAATGGAAATGATAA